CACCAAGGACTATCCACGTCATCATTTACCCAGAATGCTTTGTGTGGAAATAAAATAGCTCAGTCTTTGTAATATCTATATAAAAATTTGGTTTAAAAATGATAAAAAATAAACAGCCAACAGTATTTTTACAGTCTTTATTTTACAGTTAAAATAAATGTTTATCAGATAAAGTCTAATGCTACAGCTAATCCTGGATCCCTTTTAAAATTCAAGATGGTTTAGCCACAGTTAAATCCAAATGGCTTTAATTCAGCTTGTTTAAGAAATATTGAGCTGAGAATTTTGAGATCGTAGCCAAAAATTATCCAAAAACCATGCTGAATGCAAGTCACTATATGTTGTTTAGCCATTTTAGACATAAAAGGTTGAAGATTAGTGCAGAAGTAGCCAAAAAAACTATCAAAAATTCAAAATGGCCACCACAGCTAACTTTAAAAGGCTATAATTCAGCCAAGTTCATCACAAGCTGAATAAGGAAATCTCAGATATGAGAGCAAGTATTCATCAGAAAAGAATATGCAAAGTTTATTTTAAATACTTTCAAATGAAGTAAATTAAGTTGTTTAGTTGTGAAAATGACCGATTTTCTACATTTTCCTGTTTTTATTGTTAAAGAAAACAGTTCTCATGAAATTGAAACTTAAAAACATTAAATGAAATGGTTTATAAAAATGTAAAAGTAAATACAAATTGACGGCTATGTTCAAGTTTTATTGCACAATAATGTTTATAAATGAGTTTTACAATCACTTATTAAATGTTAATACTAACATAAAGAATTTTCTGTGCAAAAAAACACATAATGGGTGTGGTAGTTAAGTGCATAATATTCCTTCATATTTAAAGGATATAAAATGATGAGATGAGCTGAATCATTTAATTTAAAAATAATGTTGTCTTTAGTGTTAGCTACTATACTGTTAGTGCTTGTTTACTGAGGTTTGTCAGTGTGATTATTGCAGGTTAAATAAACAACCATTATATTTACGTTTGCAGTTTTGACCAAATTGGATTGCAGTATTTAATTGCATTGTTACTGACCAAATACTTTGGTTAGCTTCTGCCTCTGAGAAACAACATGCATTGCAGAACTGTGTAAAAAGGCAACATGTTTTTGTATTTTATGATAATATGAACTGATAAACGTTTAAATCAAAACCCAAAAAATGGTTGTTAATATCAAACTGAGTTTCAAATAAGGCTTTTCCTGGACGATGCACAATTCTTGCCCTGCACAAGATGGCTGCTCACTCCAACCACGATAGCCCGTTCAGCCTATGTACCAATAATTTTACAAACCACACCAGAGCCCTCTAGTGGACAAATGTTTAATCAGACATAAAAATAAACTTTAAAAAAAAAAACAGAAAAATGTCCTGTAATTAAGTTTCTCCTGCATGAAAGGCAAACTTTAAACTATCAATAAAATCTTCTAACAAAATATCACGTAACAGAAAAGCTTCACCTGCTGAATGGAGCGTTTTTTACTAAAATCAAAAGAAATAAACGGTGATATGAATCAGGGATTACCTGAAGAGACCCAACAGAAAATACAAACCATAAGACTTTACGGACGTGAAAAGTTGCTTCTTTCTTTTTTATTCTGCTCGTTTTAAAACAAAAATATTACTTTTTAATCACAACTTTATTTAAGTATTCGCACAAGTTTTAGTTCTATCTGTCAATTAATGTATTTCTTTATTACAAATTTGAATAGAAACTATGAAATCTGGAAATCATTTTTTTATGTGACAGGAGGTGGGTCAGTGGTCCTCTGAGGGCACAGGGGCGAGCGGTGGTCTGAATGAGGTGAGTCCTGCTCAAAGTAAAACTGTCTTTGTTTTCTGTTTTTGTAGAAAGAATCCAAAATATCTGGTTTTACTATGAGGGCTAAAATTAGGACTATTGCACAACCAGCAGTTGTGCAGCCTATCTATGGTAGCCGCTAGCCTCTCCAGTGCTAACACCAGCTTATCTATGCTAGTCGCTAGCCTCTCCAACGCTAACTCCATCTTATCTATGCTAGTTGCTAGCCTCTCCAATGCTAATTCCAGCTTATCCATGCTAACCACTAGCCTCTTTGATGATAACACAAATTAATAGTCTCCTTCACATTTGCCAGTGCCAGCCTCTAAGTTAGAAGGGCTTGCTGGTGCAATGCTAACTCAAGCTTTTCCATGCTAGTTGCTAGCCTCTCCAGTGCTAACTCCGGCTTGTCTATGCTAGTCGCTAGCCTCTCCAATGCTAACATCATCTTGTCTATGCTAGTTGCTAGCCTCTCCAATGCTAACACCAGCTTATCTATGCTAGTTGCTAGCCTCTCCAATGCTAACTCTGGCTTGTCTATGNTCTATGCTAGTTGCTAGCCTCTCCAATGCTAACACCAGCTTATCTATGCTAGTTGCTAGCCTCTCCAATGCTAACTCTGGCTTGTCTATGCTAGTCGCTAGCCTCTCCAATGCTAACACCGTCTTGTCTATGCTAGTTGCTAGCCTCTCCAATGCTAACACCAGCTTATCTATGCTAGTTGCTAGCCTCTCCAATGCTAACACCAGCTTATCTATGCTAGTTGCTAGCCTCTCCAATGCTAACACCAGCTTATCTATGCTAATTGCTAGCCTCTCCAATGCTAATGCCAGCTTTTCCATGCTAGTTGCTAGCCTCTCCGATTCTAACCCCAGCTTATCCATGCTAGTCGCTAGCCTCTCCGATGATAACTTCAGCTTATCCATACTAATCAGTAGTCTCTTCAATGCTAACACCAGCTTATCGATGCTAGTCACTAGCTTCTCCAATGTTAGCACAAATTAATAGTCTCCTTCTCATTTCCCAGCTCCAGCCTCTCAGTTAGCGGTCCCAGCCTACCATTATTAAGATTAATAGCTGGATTAGGAATAGATTTAGCCTCCTGTTACAAGGATGGAGCAACCACTGGTTGTACAATAGCCTTAATTTTGGCCCTCCTACTGTGCCGTAGTCTTCCTGCCTGACTCAGCAGTATTTCCATGCCCCACAGCATCAGGTGTACAACCCTCGCCCTCCGGACCGAGGAGTCTCCTCCTACCTGCAGCGAGACCCTCAGCACAGCCATTCCCAACCTCCTCTCCAAACGCAGCGCTTCCAGCACACGTACGCCCCGAGCCGGTTCCAGCCGACGTACCCCTACCTGCCCCAGAGCCTCATCGATCTGCCCCCCACCATCTCGCTCTCAGACGGCGAGGAGCCTCCGCCCTACCAGGGTCCCTGCACCCTGCAGCTCAGAGACCCCGAGCAACAGATGGAGCTGAACCGCGAGTCGGTCCGGGCTCCTCCGAACCGCACGGTGTTTGACTCCCACCCCCTGGACCCCTCCAACTCCTGCCTGCAGGCCAGGTAACAACAAAAAAACACCTGTAATGACTTTTTATTATTTAATAAAAAAATATTAAATAATGTGATGGAGTTTGTGGAACATGTTGCTGCAGCAGCTGACCAGAAACTTAACACAGTGGGTGTGTTCAGTGATTTATGTAAGGCATTTGGCACTATTGACCATGTACAACTGCTGGGGAAATGTGAACAATATTACTTCCGAGGGTTCACACATCAGTGGTTAAAGTGTTATTTGAGTAATAAGGTACAATATGTACAAATTAATAACACAAAGTCACAAATTAAAACTATTAAATGTGGTATTCCTCAAGGGTCAGTTCTGGGGCCTAAATTATTTATATTTTATTTAAATTATATTTTTACAGCATCCATGTTTGCTGATGACACAAACTTTTTCTTTTCTGGAAAGGATGTGGACAAACTAATACAAGTAGTAGAAGACGAACTATTTGAGTTGAAGTAGTGGTTTGATTACAACAAGCCATCCTTAAACAAAAAATAAAACCAAATTCATGATATTTTCTGGTAATCGGATCCACAATAATGTAAAGTTACACATAAATGGAGTTGAAATCGAAAGAGTTTATGAAACAAAACTTTTAGGTATAATTCTGGACAACAAACTTAGTTGGAAGCCTCAAATTGAGTATATTAGAAATAAAATATCAAAAACAACTGGAATACTGTTTAAAATAAAAAAAAAATTAATAAATGTAAAAGGTTTATATGTTATATACTCCTCCTTGATTATGCCTTATTTATCATATTGCTCAGAAATACGGGGAAATGCAAATAAAACAGCTGTTGACACATTAGTTAAGTTACCAAAAAAAAGCTATTAGGCTTATTAATAAAGTGGGATATTGTGAACCAACTAATAAACTTTTCATTCAAAGTAACACTTTAACATTTCAGGACACTGTGTACATAAAAATACTAGAAGTTATGTATAAAGCATATATA